GCTAACCCATCACTGTGTGGGATTTGCAGAAGGGAGGGGGAAGGTCAGTTTCCATTCCCCGCCAAAAAAAAATTGGAATGAGCCCTATTTTATGCTTTGCCGTTTTGAAACTTTTGGGGGCAGGGCCTGCTGAAATCAAAATTTGGCAGCCCTTGCCCCAAAAAAATTTCGAGCTGGGGGCGCGGCTGGTTTCCGAGCTCGCGCGGTGTTTTTGCCGAGTTGGGGGCCCTCAGGAATGACGAAACCCCTGCTTTTTTTTCTTTTTTTTTTGACCTAATTTATCCAGTGCGCCGCGCTTCGGTGCGCTGTGCGGTGCAGTGCACGCGGTGCGCAATTCGTGCGCAAACCCGCGCACCGAGGTGTGCCGCAACTATGGAATCAAGTGATATGATAATGACTGGCATAACAAATCCAACTACCCCAGCTCTTATCATTGCAGACGGAACCGCCCTGTCCCATCATTATTAGTTAAATAATAGAGCTAGTGTTCACGAAATTTGTTGACTGAATTGATGTGACGCCTGAACGAAGTCGATGGGATTTGACCACATGAATACCCGGAGATATCATTCGTCATCCCATCAATAAATTAAATAGGAAGCTATTAACTTATTAAGAGCTAAATTTCTGTGAATTTTGCTGACTGAGCTCATGTGAGGCCTGAACAAAGTGCATGGGCTTTGCGTAAATGAATAGTACTGAATACCCAAAGCTATCGTTCATTGATTGCTCTTGTTTACTGAGAGTAACCAGTGGTTGATGGCTCTTCGAGCACAAGTTTTCTTTCCTTCTTCGGTCGGTTATTTAATCAAATCGCAAAGGATCATACCTTGGGTTGATGGATATACCTTCCACCACAACGCATGCACGCATATAGATAGTAGAGAATCTGAACCTTGCTGCTCCACAACTGACGCACCCTAGGATACATATGTGAAAGCCTCATCATCGATCGATCCAGCACGCTGATTAGAATTGAAAGTAGATGCAAAGTGAGTGCTGAGTGAGGCTTGCCGCTTTCTTTCGACCATATTGATCGCCTTGAAACAAAAACAAGTTGGAGTTCCCGCGGAGGTCTTTCGTCTTCGTTGAGAGAACACAAACTCTTGGGCAGATATATGGATCTAACAGGTCCTCTTGCGGATCCCTAAATTCTTAATGATTTACTACGAGCCTACGAGACAATTAAGCCAGTCCGATGTCTTGCATAAAGTCTTGGAGAATCCCAAACAGCTTGGTCGCTGGCTAAGGCGAATTACATAATCTAATGTTGCTGGATCAGAGAGCAGGAGGCAATACTTGAAAGGATTTAGCTGTTATTACTTTTTGAAGTTTTGGATGGGAGAACAGTGTGATCGGGTGGGTGCCTACCTCATGGCCATCAATTGAACACAATCAAGCGAACGGCAAATCTCAATAACAGACACCTAAGATAGAACATCCAATCTCAAGACTCCATTGACAGCTCTGGGAGGTAACGAAGAGATCAGGTAGCCAGGTTCGCCTGAGAGGAGCTGCACAGACGCACAGCTGACGTGCGTCGAGTGGGGCCTAGCAAAGAGAGAAACAGGGGCAGACTAGGGGTGAATCCTTCCCTTTCTGGAAGCAATCAATGTGAAGAGTCACATGTCTGTACCATTCAGCCATATGGGCTGGGTACAACATGTAATGTTATATCTAGTTTCATGTTTCAACTTTCATGTCTATTTTCTATCAGTGAGATGAAGATCGTACACAGGAAAGACTACCTCACTAAGCGTCTAGGGTTTAGCATTCAGGGTTTAGGGTTTAGTGTTCTATGGCATATCTTTTAGGGCTTAGGGTTTAGGGTTTAAGGATCAGAGTTCAGAGTTTGCAGTTGAGGGCTTATAACTCAGACTTTCCGGTGTAGGGTTTCGGGTTCTGGGTCCTGGGTACAGGGCTTTGATTGCAGGATTTAGGGCTTGCAGTGGTTTAGGGTTTACCAGTCTAGGGCCTACTGTCTAGGGCATAGGGCTTAGGATTCAGGGTTTAGGGCTTACGGTTTAATGTTTTGTGTGTTTGGTTCGCATTGCAGTGTTGGGCCTCCTAAAGGTTAAGGGTTTAGCATTCTAGGGGCCACCATTTAGGGCATAAAGGTTAGGGTTAGCACTCTAGGGCCTACCGTTTAGGGCATAGGGTTTAGGATTCAGGATTCGGGGTTTAGGGCTTAAGGTTTCGGGTGTCTGGTTACGGATTAAGGTTTAGCGTTTAGAGTGTCTGGCTCTAATTGCGGGGCTTGGGGCTCCTATGGACGTATAGCATAATAATTATCACTCACGGAAAAGGATGCCTTGTGAGTGAGGAATCACGGGGGGAGGAGTGGTCAGGCTGTATATTTCTCATGATTTGCAAGAACTTGTTTCCTCAGGCACTTGGTTTTAAATTGATGCTTGAAATTCATTTTCAAGATTGGTCAAATCTGCTGGTCACTTGGAAGGAGCTGAACTGCCTCTAGAACTTAAGGATGCAGAACTGCAGAGACAAATTCAATCATCAACTTCAACTCTCCACGCCCCCATGACAAACAAATCCTCCTCCTCCTCCTCTCTCTCTCTCTCTCTCTCTCTCTCTCTCTCTCTCTCTCTCTCTCTCTCTCTCTCTCTCTCTGTGTGTGTGTGTGTGTGTGTGTGTGTG